CAACTCCCAGAGTTCCCCAGCCAGCATGCTGGCTGGAGAACTCTGGGAGTTGAAGTCCACACATCTTCAAGTCACCAAGGTTGAGGAACCCTGATCTATGCCATCCATGATCTTCAATACCTCTGTTTTATATCTGCTTCCAAGTGAAAGAGCCCCAAACGTTATTGGCTTCCGTGCAGGAACAGAGGGAGTTGCGAGCAGCCCAACAATTCTGGAGGCCTGAAGCTAGGAGATTTCTAATCCTGCTCTCACCCTGTAGACCTCTCCACCAGCTCTTAAGCCCTTCCATTTTCCCGAAAGTGAACTGTACAAATTGTAAAAGGTTCATGACGGTGCAAAGCGAACAAATGAAATAATAGCAGAATATGTGGCATCTTCTGATGCTAGAGCTGAATAATTTATATACTTCATCAATATTCACATAATATGCACTGATGAATGCAATTCATGATGGTATCTGGGTGGATGTGGGTAATTGTACATCCAGTTTCTCTGTATTCACTTTGAACATCACAGCTGGCCAAGCGTCTAAAAGAGCTAAGATAACTGGGATTGGTGGTCGATTTTTAAAGATGTTGGAGCGACCTCACTCATTCCTCTACTCACAACCAACCTTCACCTCTTTCTGAACTTGTCTTCCATTCCACTCCCATCTCAGTTGCTCTTCTGGCTTTCAGCTTCCTTCTTCTATGTCTCTGCTTTCTCTGCTTTTACTTTCCACCCAGTCGGTCCTTCTCTGTGTCCAGCCACTCCATTTCCTTAGTCCCATCACCTTTCTACCTTCCCACTCACTTTCCTGCTTTTCTCGATGTCACCAGCCCTGGCCTGGTCCAGGATCCATCCCTCTGCTTCTGGTTCTTGTCTTTCTTCTTCTCCTTATAACTACTGTGATGGAATGGAATTATGAAGGCCGAGCTCAGGGAGATAAACATTTTCTTAGCTCGCCAGAGCCGCGTGAGAGGAACAAGAGGATGAGACTGGCACCTCCCTGAGGAATTCACACTGTTGTGGCTGGAGGGCCTTGGGGACCGGGGGTTTAGTCTGGGGAGGGTCTTTCTAGAGGTTGTATCTAATAAAAA